TAATGGGTAAATTACAGAATTTAATGGATTAATTACATGTAAACCGTTAAACGTGTTTCTTTAAAGGTCTTTATATGGTTAGAAAAAGGTTATAGCTCTTTTTTGGTAATTAAAAATAGCAAAAAAGGCTTTGTGACAATAACAGTTAAAGAACCTTTATTTTTAAATAAGTGAGGTTCAAATTCGTTGATTACCGATGATTTTAAAACACATACATATTAAAACTGAAGAAATGAAGGGAACCTTAAGGTAACACTTACGTATAAGTATAGAGTAGAATAGCCCCTGAGGGTGGTTTATCCTTCAAGCTCAGGTCCTCTACCATAGGCCTGGGAGTTTGAGGGTCCTGTGCAGTATCTTAGCTGTTCCTGGGACTGCGCTCTTCTGGACAGAGATCTTCGATGTTGCTGTTGTAGCCACTTGCCTATAGCCCACATCTTCTCCAGCTCTTCTCTGAGCCCTTGGTATTTCTTGAGGTCCTTCATCCTGATGTTGCTGTCATTCTGTATCGCTACATCTATCACTACGGCCATCTTCTTCTTCATCTTCTTCATATATCTACATTTTATTGGATTTCATGCCATGAATGTATAAAAGTAATACAATCTTTGATGTCATTAAATTTTAAATGCTATTGTTCTTAAAATATTTCAAATTCTGAAAATTACAACTTGTTACATTTTTGAAAACTATTTTTCATAAAATGAATTAATTTAGTAATTAATATATTGTTAAATTACATTGTTTAAACTTACAGTAATAGCTTTTCAGTGTTTTTACGTTGTCCGGTATCCGTTTTTCAAAAATCAAACTGATTACGTCTTTGACTATAAAATAAAAGACCTTGATGTAAATTTCGGTTTTTGTGTTTTTAAAATCATATAGATAGCATTTTGTGTGCACATTTCTTGCTTTGGTAAGTATACGAAAAACCTCAAAGTTACAGTTTTTCCTAAATGTAGTTTTATTTTGAAAACACAGGCGGAGGTTGAGTGAGCAGCTAACTCCATGCTAGACCCAAACAGCTGATTAGCATAAAGGCTATGAGGCCAGCAGGGTCTCTGGTTGTCTGCTGTACGCAAACGTCAACATTAGAGCTGAAGTTAAACGATGCGATGAGATTAATGAATCTGGAAATAATCCCGTTTAAGGGCTGTGAGAGATACTAACCAGCGTGCTAACAACTAGTTAGCCCTGTTAGCTCCGCTCACAATAATAATATCAACAGCGGCTGTATTCCGGCACAGTCCCGTCGCTTTAAACGCCAAAAAACTTTAGAATTTAAACAATCCAAATGGAAACAAACCCGCCGAAAAGACGAGACAACAAGAAGTCTCTTCGGGTGAAGGTGATTAGCCTCGGAAACGCCGAGGTCGGAAAGGTATGAGACCCCCTGTTTATTTGAGCTCAAACCTAAAATAGAGTCTGGTTCATTTTACTTGAGCTTGTTATAAACCACCTGTACTGTACTACTGTGAGTTTATGGCTTATAATGTCACATTTGAAAAAATTATATAAAGGTCGTGAAAGATTTTTTTCTGTAGTCTTTATTCTGTTTTGGATGTCAGTTTTGTTGTTTTTGCTCTCTGGTTTATTTTGTTCACTCTGTCGCCAGACTTCGTTTAAAACCGATTTTAATTACATCTCACCACACGATCTCACAGATTACAGCATCCAGGTAAAATTATTTTCAATATGGTTGCATTAGGTATAATTCGGCGCAGATTTATGTCATAAAAAGAAATAGTTTATTGTTTTATTATCTTTAATATTTGGAGCATCATGGAGCAGACAGCAACAACTAGCAGCGCACACTTAAATTACGTTTGTTTTATTGTGCTGTATCAGCACAATAAAACAAAGCTGTTTGATTTGTGATATTATTGATCAGGCTAGTTTAACCCTGAGAAATCTTTGTTTGGAATTAATGTAAATTTTGACATGAATGTGCTTTTAAAGGGCAGAAGGCTAAAAAAGTTCATGTTATTAAGGCATAACAGCTTATTTTTGAAGCCAAATTTTCCAAAATAGGCTTAGAATTGTAGACTGATGATTATTTGAAACACAATATCTGCAAATGGGATTATCCAATTAAAACCTAACAAGACACAAATTATCTAAATAAAAACACAAAAAAATTAATAAATCTCAGTTTGATGGATGGTCTGGCGTGAAAGGCAGTGGAGCTCATCTTTAAATATTGTTTATTCTTCAGAGCTGTATCATCAAGCGTTACTGCGAGAAGAGGTTTGTTCCAAAGTATCTGGCAACCATTGGAATCGACTATGGCGTCACCAAGTGAGTTCACAGACTGCTTCCTGTCACTGTGTGTGTAGTGATGTTTTTTACTGAGCACTAACATGTGTTTTATCTGCCAACAGAGTTCAGGTTCGAGACAGAGAAATCAAGGTGAACATCTTTGATATGGCCGGCCACCCGTTCTTCTATGAAGTGAGTCAAAAACGAGCAATTTATGTTGTTCACATCAGAAGAAATGTATAAAACACATGCATGTTAGAGCGCCAACAAAGGTGCTGTGAAAGAGAAATACGAGATAATTCACAGATTTACAAGAAAAGAAAACTAGTGAGTAAAAAAGAAAACTAATGAGTAAAAATTACATAAAATTGCATAGGAATAAAATGTCTGGAAATTTTATGACAAAAATCCTATTAGATCATATTTTAAAAAGACCAATATGCAATAAGAAGATTTCAAATTCTGACTTCTTTTCTCTGAATTTCTTTAACATCAATGGTTGTGACAGACTGTCGTAAAACAAGATATTTTCGGCCAAAAATAAGCCTTCTTGTAATATTTGCACCCACACAACAGGCGGCGCTCTGTGAACATGTTTCTTTCTCTGTGGTGTCGGTCAGGTGCGTAACGAGTTCTACAAAGACAGCCAGGGCGTGCTGCTCGTGTATGATGTCGGCCTGAGGGAGAGCTTCGACGCCCTCGACAGCTGGCTCGGCGAGATGAAACAAGAAATGGGCTCTCAGGCCAACATGGACAGCATCGTGTTCGTCGTCTGCGCCAACAAGGTCAGACCGAGTGCAGCTTTAAGAGAGAGGAGCTGAAGCAGCTTGATTCAAACTGAGGGTGTGCTGAGGAGCTGGTATTAAGGCCCTGAATGAGATAAAGAAGGATTATTTTGAACTATGACTCAAATCTTTTATTGAGGTTTATTAAACACACATGCAGCTGGAGGTAAATGTCTGCGTGTTCATACAGGTGGACCTGACGAAGCGGCGAGTGGTGGATGAGGGCGAGGGGCGCCTGTGGGCAGAGTCCAGAGGCTTTCATTACTTTGAGACATCAGCACAGAGCGGCGAGGGCATCAACGAGATGTTTCAGGTATTTCTCGCACACATGCGCAGCTTCCTGTACATTTTTTTTTATGGACCGTGTCTCAGTGAGTGCCGTGTTCTCCACAGGCGTTCTTCTCCTCCATCACTGACATGTGCGAGAACGGCGGAAAGCGCCCGGTGTCGGAGGTCAGCGTCGGCTTCACCAAAGAGCAGGCTGACACCATCCGGCGTATCCGCAACAGCAAAGACTCGTGGGATATGTTGGGAGTCAAACCCGGGGCCACGCGGTGAGTCGCCAGCATACAGGCCATCTTTTCAATGAAGTTGTTTTGTTTTTTTCTCACATTGTGTCTAATGCAGTTTACTATCTTTTCATTTCTAGGGAGGAGGTGAACAAGGCGTACAGGAAGCTGGCGGTCCTGCTGCACCCAGACAAATGTGTTGCCCCCGGCAGTGAAGACGCGTTCAAGGCGGTGGTGAACGCCCGCACCTCACTGCTAAAGAACATTAAATAACACACACACACACACACAGAAACAACTGGACCTGCTGTCACTCAGACACGAACTGATGACAAACTTTATTTATTTATTTATTTCTGTATTTATTCAGCGTACGTGTCATGTGTGCCATTTTGCTTGCCACAGTGCGGTATGCCAACATAAACCAGTTTTAACTTATTATATGATATTTTAAACACTACACTGGAGAGAGTATGGAAGACGATGAGTGCCACACAAATGAAAAAGATACAAACTCTGTGAAAAACATTTCAAAATTAAATTATTTCAGATTTTTACTCTTTAAAGGTACTTGTCCTGTGTGTGTCCACTTAAAGCTGTCAAAAACAAATTAAAGGCATAATCACTTAAACTGCATGCTGAATATTTAAAAAAAAGAACTTTAAATTTCAATGTAGCAAAAACCTGCCAAATCCTCATCATCAAAAACGAATCTGAAACCAAAATGGGTTAAACTTGTAGGCACGGTGGAGTTAAACTACCAGCTTTGCTTTCTTTGTGACTGGAAATAAACCCATCAAAATGTTCTTTTCTGTAATGTCGGAGTTAGTTTAATGTACTTCTCCTGGACAAATCAGAATACTTTATTGATCCCTTAGGAAACTATGTGAAACTACTTAGCTATGTTCATGTCAATGTCAATTAGGTCGCCCACACATGCTACCCCATTTAAATTAATTTGTTTCCGTAAGTGGCTGCTTTGGTCCCTGAATTGTTTATATGGAGCTCCTCACATTTGTTCCCTGAAAAAGCATATCTCTACTCTCACACTACTAATTTCCTTCATTAAAATCACTCACCCCAAGTAGCTAACTTGTTCCCTTAACTGGTTAATTTAACCTGTTTCTCGATTGATTATTGGCCTAAAAGTTTAGTTTGTGTCCAAACTATTAATTTTAATTTTTTTGTACATTTTTTGTTTTATTGACTTACTCCATTATTTCTCTAATTTGTTCCCTCTGACTGTGGATAAAGTGAAAATATTAATGCATGTCCTTAAATCACTTTTTTCTCCAAAGTGCCAACCTATTCTTTTAACTCATCGAATAGTTCGCTAGACATATTTTTAAGTCGTGTTTCTTTAAAATCAATGGAATCATTTATGCATGTTTATATTTTCTTGGTTTGTTGCCTCAGTTCATTAATTTTTTTTCCCTCAAACTGCCAAATATTGTATTGGTTCCCTAATGTTATTTGTTATTACATTTATCCCAGGTAAACTATTACCTAAAAATATATATTTAAAAAAG